ATGTGAACACTTGAATTATGACCCTTATAATGTCTGTCTATCTATCTATCTATCTATCTATCTATCTATCTATCTATCTATCTATCTATCATCTATCATCAACTATCCATCTACAATTTCTAATATGAGCTTCAGTCTTTCTGCCTGAGTTTGAATATTTGTTTCATCATGTCCTTGTGCAACCTTGGCCGAGATTCTATAAAACGTGTTAGCAGTAGGACCTACCTCAAAGAGCTATTCTGCAGATTTAGCCAGATTTGGTTTCCCTTGTTTGTAAAATGTTGGTAGAATAGTGCCTGATACAGACTAAGTATTAAATACAAGATAGCTACTATGATTGGTGGTGTTTTTATTTACTTAACGTATAACAACCGTTCCGCTCAATATTACTCTGAGAGTTTCCCTTTGGGGATGAGGGCTCCATTTAATGTGGATGCCATCACCACGCTGTGCAGACCCTGATGTTTTGCCTCCAAAATGAAGCCTCTTTGCCAGTGTTGTATCAGTGTGATCTGCTCTATTTCATAAAGCACTGACTAAAAACCTGGTTAAGACTCAGCTGTTTTTCCTTTAGTCTTAAAGGAAGCAGAGATGAGTCTCATATCTTTGTTGAAATTCTGCAATATGCAATTTAAAGTTAGATTGACCTTCAAGCTGACAAAGAAAAATAAACAGTTTTATAAATGAAAATGGCTAATCTGAAATAGATCACAGCTAAGAACTTCATTTTGTATTCATTCTCTTCATACAAGGCCGATCTCACACGAGTGAACATCTGCTGTTGTGTTTCATTGTGGAGCCCATTGAAGATGCAGTTGGAGGGAATTAAGGACACAACGAGCTGGCAGAAACCAGAGAATGTGTCTGTGGTCCCTTATTTCAGAGAATTTTGATATTTAAATTCAGGTGTTCCTGATTTAAGAAAAAATAGTTGTTACCTAAACTTTCACTGGTGAATTGTTTTTCTTTAGAACTGTTCCAGTCTCCTGGAAGTCACTGACAGGGTTAATTCTTGCAATACGTGGGAGGGCTCCACATACTGCAGGGAGACCGAATGAGGGTAGAGAAGGACAGTTGCTTCAAACTTTCACAGTATTTCCCTGCGATTTCAATGTTTCCCAAGAAAGAAAATGTATTCCTTTGAAGCACATACAATTATCAGAGAACATATAATGAAAGAAAATAAAAATATCAGTAGCATGGTGGGGTGGTGGGGCTTCTGGGGAGGGGCTGGGGTGGCGGATCACAAGATCTAAGTATCTCCTCACAGATGCCTGACAGCTCTGCTCAGTATCTACACAAAAGAGACGCCTTTTACTGGTGTAAGGCTCTGAGCCAGGGATGCCCTGAGAAATCTGGGCAATTGCCCTTTGTTCTGGTTCTACAGTTTCATGTTTAGGAAAACTGTGGCCCAGGAAGGCTGAGGGTGATAAATAAGCACTGTGCTCACGCCTGACTAGACTGTACTGAACTCTGCAGTCATATTATATATGGTATAACACCAAGATTGATGACCAAGAAGAGGCTATCCCCTGCATGTTTCCAGAGAAGCCTTGCGCAGAAACACACACACACACACACACACATGAACGCACGCGCAAATGCATGCGCACGCCAGCACGAACATACAGCCTAGCTTGAGGAGGGTAGTTGAACCTTCTGAAAGAGTTTATATTATTTCTTTTTAACTCATAGATTATTATTTTGGACCCTAAGGTGCCCTTACATAGAGATTTATTCAATTACTGACCTAAGTTCATAACTAAAAGCCCTACTTTCTCATATGCTCTTGATATTCTCGAGGTACTGGCCTCTAATGATGTGCTGTGCTGTGCTTTTATTTTATTTTTGCATAAACTCTCCAAAAGGGAGACAACCGTAATATCACAGTTGATTGAAATCTCTCCGGAGACACCCTGTACAACTGATTGTCTCTTCCCTCTGATGCTTCTCTGCAGAAATTCGGTGTCCAGATGTTCCAGAATCCAGATGGCCTAGGGATCCTCTATCACCCAGAAAGGAGGAGAATGTTCATGAAAGTGGAACATTGAAAAGGAAAAGAAGTCATTTAGCACTGGCAAAAGGATGGCAACATACAGGGTTCAAGAAAAAAGTTTCCTTTCCTAAAGCATAGAACTTAATAAATGTGTGTTATAGGCTCTATCAGCAAGCCAAATTTTCAGCCTCGCTTCTTCTTTCTATCACCATTAAGAGGCTTGCAGAGATCCATACTCTTTAAAGGGCAGACAGCATGGAAGAACTATCATGTACAATTTAAAGTAGCAGCTAAAATTGGAATGGTCACAAGAAAGCCTGTTTCTTTGCAATTAAATTGACAAGCTGTCTGTGATTACCCTAGGGAACTTGGCAGCTGAGTGATACAAAGACTGCAGAGTGTTGAAAGGTCTAACACAACTTACTAGCTGGACAAAGACCACATCTGCCTAATAGACTGAGGGAGAGAGTTGTGGAATGTATGAGGCTAAATTAACAGAGGAGACATACTAATGACACTTTTCCCTCTCTAAGACCCCCTGTTCAGAACCTGTCTTAGAAATTACCCGCAAATATTTGAAAGCATGCATAAAAAGTAGTTGAACACACAATACACCGAATTGTTAAGTATGGACCTAAAATTACAGTACACCAAAGATTTGAACCCAAGATCAAAAAGAAATAAAAAAAAAATGAAATCCTTTCATCAGATAATGTTTATAAAACTTAAATATGAGTTTGCATGTTATAAATGCTGGGTGTCCAAGAAAAGATGTAGAGAGGCATCAACAGCTCAAGAGATTAAAGAAAGGAGGTAGTTTAATGACAAAAGTTGAAGCAAGTATGTAGATTTTTCATCACAGGATGTTTTCCTTAAATTTGAAAACTAGGTTCTGGAGAAAGATGGGGCTGCCTGCTCCCTTATAGATTGACAGAGTCTCAGACACCAGGGCCACTTTGAGTTGGAATGAACTTGATGGCAGTAGGAAACTTAGGCTACCAAAGGTGGGTGGGAATCAGATTTTGGATCTAGCAATTCACAAAAACTAACACACCCACGTTAGTATTGCCTTCTTGATTTTCGTTAGGCCATTCCTTGTGAGGGCACCTGAGAATGTGAGGTCTCTTCTGATTCGTTTTATAGGTGTTGAACTGCTGATGACGAAACAAATGAATGCACAAAGACTCTGCCTACAGGTCTTCCTGTTTATTCTGAAGGTGGTGGGGCATTTCCCCCACAATCTTAGAAATTGCTTTGTGACCATTTCCTAAGTATGATAATCCTCTGCATGATTTCGGAAATCCAAGTCCATTATACACTCCTGGCATTCGCTTCAAAACCTCAGGTTTTTAAATTAATTGGCCGGTGTTGGCTAGTCTTTGACACTGTGTGGCACTTTGACAAAATTACTCAGTCATTCAAATGCTGACTGACATGGTATTGATATCTTCAATGCTTCTTTTGGATTAAAAAACCCCCAATAATACACGATATTAATATAGCACATAGGTTCCCAAGCTTATTTAGCCTACTGCCCCCTTTACAGAAAACAATGATTCCACCTCTCGCTGGCCTTAAAAAACTGTTGTACCACAGCCCATGATCCAGGATCAGGTTTAAGTTTGTGCTTTTGCAGCCCCTCTGGGTCGGATGAACATAACCTCGTGAGTGGCGTCTCCCGCTGTGGGAAACATTGGCACAGCACATTGTATTTTGAAATGTCTGTGGGTTTCGCTTAGCCATGGTGTTCCTTTTCCCTGTTACCACGGGTGATCAGCAGTTGGATCTATTCTTTCCCCATCTCAACACTTGGAGGCTTGGTTGACCCATTTTAAAGATGGTGGACACGAAGCTAGAAAATTTACCTGTCTGACTTGCCTAACGTGACATAGGCGCAGAGCAGAGTCTCTTGCTCCTATCATGAAAGTATGATGAGAATAAGGCCGAATGTGGAGCATTAGGTTTGGATTTTTTTTCTCTTTTTAAAAACGTCCTTCATTTGCAAAACCTAAGTCAACACATTTGTTCAAATTGGCATTCAAACTTCTCTTTTGGGATACCTGGATGGAATGATACGTGGTTGCTGATGCTTTCAGCCTGCCTCCTCAGACAGGATCTAATTGCTGAGGGGAAACACGCTCGGACTCTCTGCTCCCATCATATGGAAGGTTATACACTTATGTACTCATTACCTGCTTTTGCCAAGAAAATGTGCATGTGGTAAACATTGCTTCTTGCAAATGCCCTGGTGCCCAAAGCTAGTAAGTATCTTGTACAAAAGTAATGTTGAATAAATGCTCTTCGATGGTCATTGTGATGTTTGATAGATAGCAACCACATTTTTCTCCAAAGCAATAGTTTGAGATTTATCCAACTCTAGCTTATCCATGTAATAGGGAACAGGAATCGCATGGTTAATCGAAACCCACAGACACACACACACAAACCCCATCATACAAATAGCTGCAATCTCCTCCATCAGCAAACCTGTATGTCTAACTAATAACATAATTAAGTTGATTGGGGTGAGCCCATCTCCTGCCCTCACAGTTTTTCTCCCACATATTCCCTTTCCCTTTTCTCTTCTGTGGTTGAAAAAAGAAAATGGTTTTAAAAGAGTTAACATTTCCCCCAAAACAAAGCTCAGAAGATAGGCACGGAGGGAAATAGGGATGTACAGAAGTGGAAACACAGGGAGAAGCAGGCGGAGTGCTGTTATATTGAAGGAATTGCAACCAATGTCACACATCAGAATGTGTACACATTTTGAAGGAGGAGCTTATTCGCTCTGCAAATTTTTACCCAAACTACAGTAAAGGATTTAAAAAAAAAGCTAAGAGGAATAATACAATCAAGAATTGATTAAAGTCCCACAGTTTTTGTTTTTTTTTTTTTGACAACTGAGGTATGTGAATGCAGGTGCTCAACAAATGCTCTTTAAGGAGTAGGGTCTAATTGATGGTATTGTCCATCCCCTTGTTTCTCTCCTATCTTGACACAGACCACATGTCAGGGGCTCCTCAGCCACCTTCATACCTGTCTGGTGTATGAAAACTAACAAGAACCCCAAATCCTTTCAAGCTACAGCATCATGTGATATTAGCAGCTAGATGAAATTGGGTAGAGATTGTTTAATTGCATTAACATCAGCTGTTTTTATAAAATGATGCCAGGTCACTTGGTATAATTATAAAAATTCTACCTTTTTACCCAAGGACAGTATACTATGTTGGGGAACGAACACTCCCAGCCATGGAATTGATTCTGACAATGAATCTAGAGGACTGGGTCAGACTGACTGTGTATGTGTCTATGACTATAACTCTTTTTCGCAGGGGCTGGTTAGTGCCCCACTCGTCGCTCGTGTTGCATAGTGCGATTCCTTGCATGTTGCTTGGATGGTGAAAGATATTTCAAACGCCAGCAGAGTCACCCATGGTGAACAGCTTTCAGTGGACTTTTCATACTAGAACAGACAAGTGACAAAGAAAAGGTGGTTAACTACCGGGGAATTTGCCACCGAACCCCTTATTGAAGCAGGAGAACAGTGTCAAAGAAAATTCTGGAAGATGATCCCCTCCGGTTGGAAGGCACTTAAACTGTAACTGGAGAAGAGCTGCCTCCTCAATGTAGAATCAGCTTTAATGACCTGGGTGGAGCAAAGCTTTCAGGATCTTCATAGCTCCTGGGAAACCACTCAAAAATGAGAAAAAGCAGTGCAAATGCCAATTGATGATCTAAACATGGAGTCATAAACGCGATATGAGATGCATAAAGATTGATATCCTAGGCATTAATGTGAAATGGACTAGTATCGACCATTCTGAATGGGACAATCATAGGGATTGTTGTGCCTGTGATGACAAATTTTATAGGAATGGCAATGCAGTCATCATTAAAAGAACATTTCAGGACATATTCTAAAGTACTATGCTGTATGTGATAATATTCACCTGCTTATAAAGAAGATGCAAATACCAACTGCTAAAGCCAGTGATGAAGAAATTGAAGAAGCCTACCAATCTCTTCAGCCCGAAATTGATTAAGCATGCCATCAAGATGCACTGATAATTCCTGGTGTTTGGAATGCCAAGGTTGGAAACAAAGAGGAAGGGATGCTACTGTTGGTAGGTGCTGTCCTGTCAGTTCCGACTCTAGCAGCCCTTTGGAGGACAGCACCGAGCACTGTCTGGAGCTTGCTATCCCCCAGTTGGTCCTGTTTTCGAGCCCATGGTTGCAGCCACGGTGCCGTCCACTTGCTGAGGCCCTTCCTCCCTTTTGCTGCCTCCTTAAATTGTCAAGCAGGATTCCCTCCTCAGGGCGCGGTGTCTCCTGACAACATGTACAAAGTACGTGAGGTGAACTCTCGCCAAACTTGCCCTGACGGAACTCTCTGGCTGTACTTCTTCTAAGACAGATTTGGTTGTTCTCTTTTTAGTATTTGTTTATTTTGATTTGGTTGTTCCTTTGGAAGTTCATGGTACCTTCAATATTCTTTGCTAGCACCATAATTCAAAAATACGGATTCTTCTTCTGTCTTCTTTATTCAGTGTCCAACTTTCACATGCACATCGGCACTTGGAAATGCCATGGTTTCGGTCAGACACACCATGGTCCTCAAAGTAACATCCTTGCTTTTCAATATTCTAAAGATGTCTTGTGCAGCTGATTCACCTAATTCAGTACATCTTTCCATCTCTTGACTGTTGTTTTCATGAGCATTTATTGTAGATCCAAGCAAGGCAAAAGCTTCGACCACTTTAATCTTTTCTCCATTTATCATGATGTTGCCCACTGCTGCAATTGTGAAGATTTCTGTTTTCTTTACATTGAGTTGTATTCACACCTGGGATGTCTTTTGATCTTCATCAGCAAGTGCTTCAAGTCCTCCTCACTCTCAGCAAGCAAGATCTTGCCATCTGTGTATCACAAATTGTTCACGTGCCATCATCCAATCTTGAAATCATATTCTTCTATAGTCCAGCTTCTTTGATTATTTTCCCAGAATACATATTGAATAAGTAAGAGGACACAACTCTGACACACACCTTACCTGATTTTAAACCATGCAGTATTCCCATGTTCTGTTTACACAATTGCCCCTTGATCCATGTACTGGTTCCACATGAGTGAATGCTTTCGGTGCTTCATCAACTTGTTGAAACATTTCAGTGGGTATT